AGCAGCCGTTATTTATAACAGGCAAATGTGGGGACAGGCCCGTGCCCTGAAGGGACAAGGTCAGAGACCGTCTGCCACAGGGATGGGGGCGTGAGAACCAGCAGGAAAAAGCTGGGTCCGAAGGCCTGCACACACCAGTGACCGTGAGGTCCAAACACGTAGGAGGGGACTTCGTGGAAAATGGAATTGAAGGACAAGTTTATTTTGGTGCAAAAATGTGAAATCCGTGCACAGTTGCACTTTTTTGCAACGTGCATTCTCCGTGAACTTCCTGAAGACCCCGTGCGCATGCGCAGGGTACGGGGTCCCTAGAAAGTGTATCGCATAGACCAGCGGAGACGCCGCCCCAGCGCGATGGAGGATGCCACTGCGAGCGAGCCCAGCAGTGCGACGGCATCGCTGTTCATTTTACCAGTGCGAGCACAGGATCTTAGGCACACAGGAAAACCGACTTTTTCTCAGAGGTATATCCTGAAATGTCAGGATGACCACAGCTTAGTTGAAGTTGAATTTAGAAAAATCGAGGAAAAGTAAATGCGGCAGAATATCCCAGCTGTGAAGGCTGCACAATGGGCGTGTGGGTGTCCTTCTAGGACCTCCCACTGTCCTGCTTCCTGCACTCATCATTATAAAAGTACACTTTCACCCATTGATGTCGCGGACTTGCATATACTGACTCGCCAGAGGGGTGAAAACCAAGCCACTGCAAGCAGCTCTGGTCTGACCCCATTTTCGTTACACTGCACACGCAGAAAAAAGTCTCAAGGGGGTAAGTAGAGACGCCGTAAGCGGGGCTCCGGCTAGCCGGCTCTCCGCTGTGCTCCTTACACCTCCCCGTCTTCCTGCAGGAGCAGGAGTGAGTCTTTGCAATCAAATGTAGACTAGCCCTTCCATGTTCGCTGGATTTCTTCTCTTCTCTAAGGCAACTTGGGTGTGTAATGAAAAATAAAGCCAATCTCATTTCGAGATGGCCCAGGGCGTTTCCAACTGTCCTGGCCTTGATGGTGCCAAGCTGGCAAGGTGTTAGGGGACCTGGACCACGAGAGGGACGGTGGTCCCTGAAAGGGCCTGATGGTTGGGCAAGCCTCGAAGGCCAGACCGTGAAGTCAGGGGTGGGATTAAGGCTGGCCAAGGCAGGAAGGACTGAACTAGGTTCTCAGCCTCCCTCCCATGGGCCCGGGGGCAGTGGCAGTGTGAGCAGCCGCTGGGAGGAAACCCCCCAGGGAAGAAGCAGGAGGTGGGGGGGGGGGAGGGCCCCTAGGGCAGGGCAGACCTGTGATGACGACCTGGGCCTTTGCCTGTCCGGTCCCAGCTCTGCTGACCGCCACACACTCATACGTGCCCTCCTGGGCCTTAGAGGCCCGCGGGATCTCCCAGCTGCTGTTCCCTGACTCCCTGCAGACAGAGAACAGGGGGCACAATCACACCAACCCAGCCAGGATCCCCGCCCTCCTCCAGCCTGAGGGTGCCTTGAGTCCTGCCCAGAGGGCACCCTGAGTCCTGCCCAGAGGGTGCCCTGGGTCCTGCCCAGAGGGTGCCCTGAGTCCTGCCCAGAGGGTGCCTTGAGTCCTGCCCAGAGGGCACCCTGAGTCCTGCCCAGAGAGTGCCCTGGGTCCTGCCCAGAGGGTGCCCTGAGTCCTGCCCAGAGGGTGCCTTGAGTCCTGCCCAGAGGGCGCCCTGAATCTTGCCCAGAGCACAGGCCCCAAATGCCCTCCGAGACTTGGTGAGACGAGGTGGGCAGCAAGGACGTGGCAGTTCCACCAGGTATGTGGCTGAGCAGCCCGTCTTCCTCTCTGAGCCCTGTATGCCCATCCATGAGGGGGAGGGCCTTGGAGGGTTCTTCCTGCCCTGACCCCATGGACCTGAGCCTTGCAAGGAGTGAATGTTCCAAGAGCTGAGGGTGCTGGCTCCCTTGGGGCTGCTGACCGCCAGTGGTCATTGGGACCCCTGGCCACACTGGAGGTCCAGGGCTGGGAGGACAGTATGACTGAGACCAATGTCCCTCTCCTGCCACCCACTCCCCTGAGGCCCCTGCAGGGCAGCAGGACCAGGAGCCCTGTGGCTGGGGCCAGCCAGCAAGCTATGGTCCACTCACTGCAAATGCCTCTCCTCGCCCAGCCTGACTCCGCCTCTTCGCAGCTGCAGCCGGAAGGGGAGGGTGCTGTGCACGGAGCAGGAGACCAGCAGGGGCTGCTGCAGGTAGCCGTGGATCCTGGGGGGCATGCTGACCAGGGGGGCGCCTAGAGGCAAGCACCAGCACTCAGAATCCTTCCCCACCACCCCCACAGCCCACCCCAGCACACCCAGAGTGACCCAGGAGCCAGGGGCTGGTATCTAACCCCAGCTCCACTGAGAGCAGGCCTGCGCCTCCCTAGGACTGTCTCCGCCTCTGGAAAATGGGGGTATCGTGACACTGGCCTCTGGGTGCCATTCAGAGGGGCTGGTGAGAAGCCATGTGTGCCAAGCCTTTGGCGCAATGCAAGGGACATCGTGAGCCCACTCAACTGTGGCTCATGTAGCTTTCATGGTTTATGAGAAGGTCACTAAGAAGCTAATACAGAGGGATGGATGGCCCCATCCCTCCCAGCTCTGCACCACCATCGTCAGTCCTAAAACCTGAGGAGGGGATCCCCAGACTGAATGGGGTTCCCCAAGGGTGTGGGTGGGAACCCTTTGCCTGGAGGGTCCAGTTTACCCACATTTGTTGGAAAGAAACCTTTCCATTTAAAAATCAGCAGAGTTGGAACATGGCTGTGAATGCAGAATTCACACGCATTTTTGAGATAAAACAAGAGACTTCAATAAAATCAGTGTGTGTGATGAGGCCCTCGGGGCCCCCGTCTGACGTGCTGCCCCCCTTGTCTGGCCCTGGGCTTTGAGCGACGCGTTCTCCTTCCACGGCTATTGGCATGACTTCAGGGGAGACATCTGAGAAACGCCTCTGCAGGGTGGTCGGTGGCCATCTCCCACCATCCACACGAGCCCGGAGGAGCCCAGGACAGATGGTCTGAGAGGAGGCAGTGCGCCAGCCCTCTGCTAAGCCCAGACTGGGGCGGGGAGGGCGCCGGTGACATCATGCTTCAGGCTGTCTGCCACGTCCCAGGGGAGAGGGGTGTCGGCCATCCAGCCACGTCCCCAGCTGTGTGCAAGGCAGCCTCCGCTCACCCACACGCGCTGCAAGACTCTGCAAGGCCAGCTCGGGCTCCCCCCTTCTGTGAGCTGGAAGGGGCCCGGAGACCCCAAGCCCACCCCCATGTCTCCAAAACACAGAGCCGTCTGCTCGGAGGCGAACGCCTAGATTCCCAGACCTGGGAGGTCCCCAGGAAAGAAGCAAAACTCCCAACTACATCCCACCCCAGCCCCCACTTCCACACAAAGCTGAGATGAAGACTGAAAGCCAGAGGACCATCTGAGAAGGGGGAGGGGGACACAGGCTGCTAGCCCCCTGCTGAAGTCCTTCCTCAAAGTCCCTCCTCAAGGTACCAAGGCTGAGGGGGGAAGGGCCCAGCACGCACTCCACAGCACCCGGCGGAGGCCAGGGGGCTGGGAAGAAGAGGTGCCAGCTCCCCCAGCCAGGCCTGCCTGCCCAGCCAAGCCCTTGAGTCCCCACCCAGCAGCGGGCACTGCAGGCACCACGACCAGTCTCTCTCCCCTACCCCTCGCGGCCGTGAGCAGGGGAGAGTGCCCCCGCTGGGACTTCCATAAGAGGTGCTGGCATGCCAATGCCATCCACCTCCTGCACCCCCCAGGCCACCTCCCGGGGAAGGGGCTAGAGGGCAGAAGGACAGCAATGAAGCTCAAGAGAGAGGCCGCATACCCCCTGCTGGGACCACAGGCAGACCTGGAAAGTCGAAGCCCCACCACATCCCCAGGACCCTCTGGCCTGGATGGGGAGACCTCAGGGACATGCAGGAAACCAGCCAAAAGTCACAGTATGGGAGCCACGCAGCAAGACGAGAGAGGGTGACAAATGGCCTGTCCCTACAGTGACGTGAAATCAGCTGCCACGTGTGGAGGGTGCTCGCTCACAACGCCCAGGTCAGAGAGCTGCCTCTGGGCACCCACGCGCTGCCTCGTCATTCCCATCCACAAAGCAGCGATCTGTGTCCTCACTTACTCCGTGGGGCCGTGGGGCACAGCCCAGAACAGCTGCAGGCATTCGTGAGCTGGGGCCTGGCCAACGCTCGGCTCAGGACGGGCCCACGGTGCTCCGAGTGGTGGCTGGCTTAGTCCTGCTGTGATTGTGGTTACAGCTGACTGTGGTAGTGGCTGGGACGGGAAAGAGCAAAGACCCATCTGCCCTGCCTGCTGCAGCATCCACAGGGCCTGGGCTCCCATGTGGCCGACCACAGTTTGAGTCCCAGACCTGGCAGCTTGAAACTCACACTGGGCATGTGTGTGTGTGTGTGTGCCCAAAATCCTGAGAGGAGAATGGAGAAGGGATTGTGGTGTGGCCATCCCCCGGGGGGAGATTTCTCGCCTTCTGTCTCTTTGTCTCTCTCTCCAGTGAGCACATGAGCCCAATAGCAAAAGTCTCCCTTAAAAAAAAAAAAAGCAGCTCAGCACTAGCATGGTACCTTACAGGGAAGACCTATTCATGGACACCTAAGGAAAGTTCCTAATGTACTCTAGTCAGGGAAGACTTCCAGGGAGAAATGGACCCTGAGTAAGCCAGGACACTGGGGGACAAGGGAGTAACCACTCACCTGGTGCCACCCCACTGTAGGAAACCCCGGAGACCCGGAGGAGGAGGTTTCCCTCGTGGTCCTTGCCCTTCACCTTGAGGTAGAAGCGCTCCTTGGGGGCGTGGAAGGGCGGCCCGCCCCACAGCTGATGGGTGGATCCATTGGTGAGGGGCTTCGTGGGCAAGGTCAGGAGGGGCTGTCCTGAGCTGTGTGAGAGCTCCACCGAGTCCAGGCGGCCGGGCGCCTGCAGGCCCGTGGAGTTGATCACCAGGGAGATGGGCACACCTGCGGAGAGCACAGCGAGGAGCCAGGGGCTGGCATGGGTGCTCACGGTCCTCCCCCAGCAGGGGCTCCAGGACCACACCTTGGGATCTGGCCTGACTGGCCCTCTTGCTTGCTGCCCCCTCCCTGCCTAGGGGAAAGACTTGGAGACAGACAGCCTGTGCTACTGTCCGTGGTGCTGAAATGCCACTGTCAGTCCAGCCCTGGCTGCCCACAGCTGCGTCCCCCTGCCGGCGCAGCCTCTGACCCTAGGGGTAGAGTCAGACAGGGGCACGCCTCTCCAGTCCGCCCTCTGAATTCCAGGGCTGGCTGCAAACAGACAGGCTGGGGACCAGGACCGGCCTCGGGGGAGATGTCCTCCCTGGGGACTCTGATCCTTCCCAGCCTTGCTCCCGCTCAGCTTCTCTTTGGCTTTCTTTTCTGCCCTGATGGAAATGTGCCTTGCAAGCTACCCCCAGGGCCAGAACTGCACCTGGCTCCGTAATTGCCTTAGTCAGTCTGCAGGCTTCGGATCACTCCGTTCTTGAAGGGTGGTTAGTCTATTCCTGTCGGCACAAACTCAGGGGGCTGTGGGCCTGATTGCTGTGGCCCATGAAATGCCATAAAGTTTTTGAAGACACATTGAGCAATCTGGAAAACCTGGGTCCAGATTCATTTCTAAAATCCAGAGTGTCAGGCCAGACCCGTAGGCTACTGGTTAAGGGAAGCCAGGTCCCACCTGGCGACTGTGGTTCAAATCTCAGCTCAGGTGTGTGCACACCCCACATAGAGAGGATAGAGAATGGAGGAGAAGGGATTGCGGTGTGACCACACCCCACCGGGGGGTGCTTTCTCCCTCTTCTCTCTCTGTCTCTGTCTCTATTTGGTGAGAGGACACATCCTTTAGCAACTTTTAAGAAAATGCAGTGGGTTAATGCCAGACCCCTTTCCCACATTGCAACAACCAGCCAATGGCACGTAGCAACTGCTCCTTGTGGCCCAGGCTCCCGCCACCTGGCGAACCACGGGCTCCCCCACTCCCTGATGTCCCTGCTCCAAGGCCAAGTGCCAATCACTATCGACCGTTTACATTAACCTGGCTTTCTCTTTTGAACCCACATCTTTACCAAAAGCAGAAACCAAGGGGTCACACGTGGCCTCACTGGAGGCTGGCCCTAGGGACAGGTCAGTGTCCAGCCTCCAGCAGCAGTGCATTTAGGAGTTCCTTTCTCTCCTGACTTTAGAGACGGGCCTGTTTCCCTGCTACGGGCAAAACAACACGGAAGAGCAAGCAGCCCCTTTGCACTGCACACAACTGCAGTCTGGCAAGGAAACTGACAGGGGCCAGCGAGCATGACCAACAGTGAAGATCAGGCTAAGGGGAAGCCCTCGGGGCCCACTGTGCACCACTTGGGGTCTCTGTATGGGGGTCCAGAGTCAGCCTGACTGGTTTAGGCCCTTCCTGGTCCCAGCAAAAATCTTCCGAATGGTCCCATGGTGAGGCACCATGCTCTTTGGGCTATAGATCTACCCCTGATCTGACCACCATATGGTACATCCTGGCCTGGAGCTTGGGCAGCCAGGAGAGCCAGAAATCCCTACCCTCCAGTGCCCCAGAACCTCTGGGGTACCAGGGATCCTCAAACCTGGCGGGTGGATTCCTTGGGAAACCAGCCCCGTGCCCACAACTCCAACACCCCGAGAGTGCTCCAATGACACCAGCCCCGGGTGCAGCTGGAGGTCCAGCAGGGCAGCTTCCTGTGGGATAAGACGCACTTGGCTTTTCTAGGCCACCGACTCATGGCACTATTCCTGTATTGACCTGGAAATGCAGGGCTCTAGACGGACCACTCGGACAAAAAGGAAGGGGCAGGTGTGAGCTCAGTCAGGAAGGGGACAGCATATGGGTCCTGGAGGTCTTGGTGGCAGGAAGGGTGCTTGAAAGGTGAATGTCACGGTGTCTCCGGGGCTGGCACTCTGTTTGCATGGCTGTGACCCAGAAGAATGGCCCTGCCTCACCTCTGAAGGGCCCACTGCACAGTCACTCTGCCAAGGCCACCACCCAGACCTTCTGCCCCTTCCCAAAACCAGTCTCGTCCCTTCAGAGGGTGACTCGGCGTCACCTGCAGGTTAGGAGCATCGTACCTTGCAAGGGCCACTCGATGGTGTGGTTGAGGTCCAGGGAAGGCTGCGTGGAGAAGCCGGCTCGGAAGTTGATGTTGCTGACACCGGTGATCCTCACCGAGTGGCGGCCACTGCTATAGACCTAGCAGAGGCCCAAGGAGCATCGGACCCCAGTATCCTGCCCCCCAGGCCACCTGGCCACCAGAGGGGATTTCCTGGAGTATTTCTCAGGCCCAACGTGATCCTCTCCCAGTGAAGTAGCAGAAGCCCCCACTGACAGCCCCAGTAGAGCAGGACTCTTGAAGCCTCCTCCCAGCTCTCCCCACACCTGCAGGTCCTGTCTGTCCCCTGCATGTCTAACTCCCTTCCGTGGGGCATGGCAGGTCTTGGCTCAAAGATGCTGCATTTGAAATGCAGGGGGTCGGTGCTGCCTCCCCCTGCAGCACCCCGTGCATCCCTGCCCTGGACGTGCTCAGTAAGGAAGGGTCTGATCAGCAGGAGCTCAGGCCCCATCCCAGGGTGCCCTGTCAGGGGCCGAACTGCTCCTGATCCCGGGAACCCAGCACCGTGCTGATTAGAGCAGGCGCTGCCCCCCTGCTGCCCCGTCCTCTGAGCTGCATCCCCAACGTCACCCTTGCGTTATTCTTCACAGGACAGAGTTCTGAGCCACAAGCCACCTTGGTCACCTGCCTCTGAACACTGAGGTCATTTTTCCATGTCCTTCTTCTTCTTTTAGTTTTGCTATAGGGCACAGCCCAGGGGTCGGCCATTCTACACTCCCTTCTCCTCCGCTCTCCTCTAAGGACTTCTGGGCACACACGCAGGCACCAGCATATTCTCAAGCCACTGGGTCCAGGACTCAAACTGCACAGCCAGTCACATGAGACCCAGCGCTTTAACCTCCACACCACCTGTTGGCCCCCAGTCCTTCTTAGATGCTTCCAAACTGCTACTCACTCCACTTCCTGTCACTGGCGCACAGCAGAGTCGTCCTCCTCTGCTCCTGACTCTACTTCCGCTGGCACGCCCACATGCTAGCCCTCGGCCTCCCAAAGCCCCAGGACTCCCCAGAGCAAGCGGGAAGGAGATGCCCCCGGCGGCCCCCACCACCCAGAGCCCCTACCTTGATGGTCCACAGCCCAGGATGCTCTGGCTTAAAAGCCACGACCTTGGCTGAGTCGGGGATGTTGAGGAGCACGTTGAGGCCCTCGTCCTTCTGCAGGACCCTCCCTGTGGAGGCCCCAAGGACTGTTCAGCCCCCAGCCCTTCCCTGGGACACAGGGGTCTCCCGATCTCTAGGAACTCACTCCCACCCAAACCAGCCTCAGGCCTCCCTCGGTAGTTCTCGTCCCGCATCCCACTGCTGTCGCTCCCGGGTGCAGGCTGGCA